TATATTAAACCATTTTATCAAAGAAATAAATCAGTTCGTCTGAGTTAAAAAGATTTACAAGAATCTAATTCACCAGGGATAATTTGACAGATTACATTAGCATGCACAGTTCTGCTCTACAAGTTTTGAAAATGCAGTCTTGTACTTGATACTTTTCATGCTAATTTGTTAACTACAATAAAATAATTTTTTCAATTATTGCTTTTGGTCACACAGCAAGTTAAAAAAGGAAAAATTCCAAAACCAAGCTTGATAAAACTTTAGTTGTTTGTCCATTAATAGTTAATAACATTTTCGACCACAGAATGCAAACACAGAAAATGAGCTAAACTGACATTATACAGTCTATGTGTCAGCTACTAGAACTGGAAGATGATTTAGTAGTACTAACATCTGTATGCACTACACTTAAAAAAAACTGGTCTTGCTGAATTGGCAAGGCCATGCTGCTCACTATGGCCTAAAAACATACCATCCCACAAACAGAAGCAAAGCTTTACAGATAAAGCTAACTTCCCAAGCTCATTAAAGTTTCCATCGAAAGGCTACTGAATTATTTAGGTCCAATTCCAAGTCTGACAATTCTAAATAAAATATTTACCAAAAAAACGTACTATGATCATTTAGTATGTTCAAGACATTAATTGCATTATGATCAGGACTAGGTTATTCTGACACTCTAGTTAACTACTTGATGGGCAAGGCAGAAATAAATTAATCCATGACAATTAGAAGTCCATCTCCGGCTCAGTGCTATATATGGCTCACTTAGCATTTCACCACTAAAATTCTAAACTTTCTACATAAACAGATTAAGATCATACGAGAATGTGATAGTTTCAGCCTAGGCCTTCCTGGAGATGTTGTCTACCACGTGTGAGGGTAGAGTACTGGCCCGTATCCAACTGTCCTGCTTTTTCTCAAGGGAAGTGGTGAGATTTAACTAGTTCTTTATTTTATTAGTTACCAGGTTTCTCGATTGTGCATACCTGTTTTGGTTTTGTCCCTTTTTTGCACCTTTTTCCCATTTTCCCTTCCCCTCTCCCCTTTCTTGGGAGTTGTACATAATATCCTTACTGTATATAACTGTATATATGTAAAAATACACATATATTTTGGTATAATTCAGTTGGTTACTGTTTCTCTCAGTTTCTATAATTTTTTTTTCCCTTTCCTTTCTTTGCTGAAAAGGGGAGAGAGGGGAAGGGCTTTTGCTGAGCATTGGAGATTTTGGCAGGAAGCCAGCTCGAACTTGCTCAGAGAAAAATCCCTACCATCATTTTTTTTTAATATATTTCCTTCAAACAACCTTGCTGAACCTTTTTACGGAAGCGAGTCTGACCTCCACACCTACACATGCCAGTCAGTAGCCTCAAAGGTAAGCTACTTCAGCCTCAGAATAAAGGACAAAGATTATACAGAACAGCAATATTGTAAATATACTTTTGCTGAACAATCACTAGACAATGCTGCCATATCAAACTGTTCTCTACCTTTGTAAAACAAATCTGCACTGGACTCCGAAAAGAAGATTCCTCATCTCCAGCTCAGACAACACACTAAGTTCCATCTCACAAGGTGACAGGAGTGAGGAAAGAGGAAGACGTGTCTTAAGCTAAGCAAACAAGTACAGGAGAACAGAAGCTTTCTGAAATCCAGAACTATGGTCACACAGTATTTATACATGGGAGCACCTAAAATTATAAAATATATACCACTTACAACTTTACATTGGCACATTACATGGTTCTTCTTTTTCCAAATAGAAAGTCAATGGCCTAAACTGACATTAAATGTTTACCTCCACTTCCTCATATTAAAACTTATCTAGTTTCAACCATATTTGTAATACTTGTCATTAGGATCTTACTTGAAATACAAGCAGAAGACACAAATGAGGCTTATTCCAGTAGATTTGCCATGAGATGGAAAGCATGACTCTGCTTGGACAGCTGCTGGTCAGCCAAAGAATCCAGCATGCACGGTGATGTTTCTCTGCTAACACCAAAGTTAGTGCTGGATGCTCCAGAGATTGCCTCTTGATAGGTTTTGTTTCATTCCAATTCACCTGGTTTTGAACTACAAGCTCTACACAAAACTGGCCTTGCAACACAGGCACTTTTATTCAGGTAGCAGGATGCATAACCCAGGTAATAGCAGCCAAATAGCATTCAACAACATCCAACTGTTCAGCACCAAAAGCTAAGTACCTATGTCCCAGCTCTCCTTTATATACATGTAATCAGTTCTTTGTAGACTGTACCACACATTTTTCTGTTTTGATTCTCTTTATCCTGTGCCTAGCATGATTTTGAATTGTTTATTTACATTATCTATCTCCTAAAGATGAATTCAGGTGCCAGTGACTAAAAGTAATTCACAGTAAATGCCTTTAAATTCTGTATTTAAACGTTTCCTATCTCATCATACAGGCATATTGTAAATACCTTTGTTAACTGGATTTCAGTTACAACAATTAACCTCAAATACTCCATCACTTTAAACTCTGTTTTACTTCATATTTTTCAGGCTTCCACAGCATCTCTTTTCCCCATATGTAATAAGCTCACATTTTCTCTAGTACTGTAATTTTGCCATAGGATTAACTACCATAGAATATTCACCCAATTTTTACATATGGGTCATTCCCCTCCATAAAAATCAAAGCTACACCTCCTGAGTTGCAGATAGGCTACAGGTTAGTAACTTTGGGTTGAGGAAGCCTAGCCCACATCCTACCTTTTCACTACTCAAATTGAATGCAAGCCAAATTTCTTGTTTCATGAAACTACAGCTTTATTTCTAGTAGTGCCCCTGGAAGACTAAGACAGTGATGACTGATGCTAAAAAAGGCACAAATACATTTAACCATCTTAAGTTCACTTATATCAGCCCTGAAATAATCAGAGGGGGAAAAAAAAAATTAGTCAGGAGAGAGGACAATCTCTGCAAAGGGTTTGACGTAGCACCACCAAGTCTTAGGGTATTTAAAGCCCTTTTTAGTGATATTCCTATGAGTGAAAGCCCTGAAAAAACCACAACAGTTTGACTTCATAGATTAGTGGAAATAGCAACACTAAAAAGAAGACTTTATTAGAATATTCAAATACACATATAACTACAGCATTTGTCTAATAAAGGAATACAACACAGCAAATAGGGAGACTAACAAAAAAATTTTTTAACCCTAATAAAAATTACGAACAAGATATATATGTATATTATACATATATTTCCAGAAAATATTTCCAGATTAAGCATAACACAAGTCCGAGAACATCAAGAGCTGTTCCAGTGAGATAATAGCAGCTATTAGAAAATACAACAGAGCTAGATATGGGTAATACTGAAAATACTACCATAATAACTTAAAATACGCTAAAAGATTACTACTTTCAGCATGGTAACAACTACCTTTTGTTTTAAAGTTTTTTTCTTATCTAAATAGTACTGAGTAGGTGTGCTGGTTTAAAGGTAAACCAGCAGGGGAAATGAACCCAACTCGAAAGAGAGATTATAAGTCAGAATAACAATTTAATAAAATAATACAGTAAGTATGATTATACAAACAATTGGTTTTAACCCACAAACCCCAAATGTATAACCCAGCACCCTGGGGCATGAACAGAGTGGTGTTCGTTGGGTCCCCTGAGCCCAAAGTAAAAGGAGAGGGGAAAACCTGTTGGTGAGAGTGCTGTTGCAGTCTGGTTGAAAAGTGGTGGTTGCAGTCTGGTTGAGAGCAGTGGTCTTCAGTCTTCCTCTGGATCCCACGAGTGGTTAAAAAAGTCCCAAGACCCCAAGATTATATAACCTCCAGTTCAGGCATTACTTGTACCTGGCAGTGCCCAGTACCTCCCTCAGGCTGGGGAGTTCCACAATGGGTATGAGGACAGGAGCATCCTCTTATCTTGCAGGCCTCTTAACACCCAGTTTATAGCCTGAGGAGTCATGCTCTGTGGGCAGACTGTGTAAATGGTCTATTGATAACAGTTTCTGGGAAATGGCATGGAAGGCTATAGAATACACAGTTTTGGGTTACACCCATACAGTGATGAACTGGTCCCAGTTGTTCTAACTAGGACAACAGGAAAACAGGAAAATGAATTAAAGTTACCTGAGACACTGCCTTTATTACTCTGACACACTAATATTACTTTGACAAAGCAAGCTATGGCAGTTAGGGAGGTTCATATCAAAAAAAGTAAAAAATTAAAAGCCATTTCAGGAGCACTACTCATGGGAAGAACTAAAGGAAGCATAGATGACTAGTATGGCTGCCAAGAGTAAAAGGGAAGAGAATATTAATTTTAAAAGCCTGAGGTTTTCAGTAAGGACTTCACACACCATAATAAACACATCTAATGATATCCTAGGCAATAAGACAATGCAAGCAGTATCCAGTGCAAATAAGCACAAGGAGAGTTTGTTTATTTGCTTGGTTTTTTGTTTCTTGAACAGACTATCAACATGACAGGTCTACTAATGAGTTTCACTTTGCATCCAGTCAATTCAGATGGATCTACAGAGAGTTTGTTTTCAAGAGGTTTAGCAAGGCAGAGAGACTGAAAGTTGGCAAAAAGTTGTGTTAAGGCTTTTCTTTTTTTCACTTTTCTAAAGAGAAGGATCTTTCTGTTAAAAGATCTTTACACAAAGGTTCCAGGCTTAGGTGGTACATCATAACACTTCTGCATAAAGACACAACTTAAGTACTGAGAAAAGAATGTTACCATTTGTTACACACAAATATGATTTCCCATTATATGGCCTGTTGTCCCATCCCACAAATCATAGCATGCTTTAATAAATTAGTGCGCCACATAATGAATTTTTTTCCTGCTTCAGATTAACACTTAAGGATACAAATAATTACACACAACATTTCAATATGCTTTCTTTCTTACCTCTTTATTGTAAAAAGCAGTGTTTTTGAACCAATTTTTGGAACACATAATCAGAATTTAAGTTCTTGAAAACCTCTGTAAAAAACAGCTTTGTCTTACCATGGCTATGGGCAGTTCCTGGGCTCAGACACGGCTGGAGTAACTCTTTGGTTGGAGTAAAATAGGCTTCTTTCCCCTGTTGCTGGTTCATTTTTCCTGGAGTTACAAGCTGTGATTCATCGCTGTTTGTTACCACTGCTGAAATACAAAATGATGCTCAGTCAATGATGTTACGTGCTTGCACATAGATTTCTATTAAGAACTTCACTGCTATTTATGAAACTGGTATTCAACTGCTGTCTTGCAAAACATTTCATTCTAGAAAATGAGGTTTTCAAGCCAGAGATTTGCTTCGGAGAGGATGGCTAAAAGAAGCCAATAAGACTGGTCTAAGACACGAGACACGAGATGAAAACAAAACTAGGAGGAGGTGAAAAGGCTGCTACTGAATACAGATACAACATGAAGCTGTAACTTCTGAAATACTTCTTTCTTTGCCACTTTTGTGATAGCCACAATTCAGTCAACCCAGGAAACAGTTTGGCAGTGAAATCTTGGCAAACTAATAAAAACCTGTAAGTCTCAAAACCCACACTCAGTTTCTGCCTAATCTTCAAAGCCCTTACACTTTCCAATGAATTTACGTGAGAACGACCAAAATAGGACTTCTATGGGTTTTTTAAAATGTCCCTGGGGAAGGCCTCATCTAGTGAAATTATGAGGGGGGGAAAAACACGTCCTATGAAGAAAGCTAAGAGAGTTGGGGTTGATCAGCCTGGAGAAGAGAAGGCTCTGGGGAGACCTTACTGCAGCCTTTCACTGTATGAAGGGAGTTTATAAGAAAGACAAAGACTTTTTACCATAGCCTGTAATGACAAGACAAGGACAATGGTTTTAAACTCAAAGAGGGCAGGTTTAGATTAGATACTAGGAAAAAATTCTTTACTGTGAGGGTGGTGGGGCACTGGAACAGGTTGCCCAGAGAAGTAGTGGATGTTTCATCCCTGGAAGTGTTCAAGGCTGGGTTGGATGGGGCTCAGAGCAACCTGCGCTAGTAGAATATGTTCCTCTTTACACCAACGGGGTGGGTCTAGATGATCTTTAAGGTTCCTTCTATTCTATTATTCTAATTCTTCTTAGGTTTCACACGCCATTTCTGCCACTTGAAAAACAGATTTGATATGCATATGCTCAATGTGTCTGAGAAGACATACAATGGCATTGCCAACCATTCCTTCCACTCAAAGGCCTCAAAGTGGTGATTTATTTTTAGACTTTCACTCAGGCTTCAGAGCAGCCACCCAAGAGAAAGACCACTTCTCTTCCTACCTTCCTTCAACTGACTGAGTTTAAACTCATACCATCTATCTTCTTGAAGACAAGCAGAGGATAATTTTAGAGAAGAAACATTAATTAGTAAACGTCAAAGCCTCCTCATGACTCTTTAGAGGGCGCATTTCAATACCAACAGAACTGTTATAGTTGAGAATACATACTTTGTTCATTTTCATCATACTGGCCATCAGATTACTAATACACAGTTTTTCAGTACAATTCATGCATCAAAGAAATACAAATCAGGGTATTTACAGCCAATTTATTTCAGGTAAGACTATGAAAGAAAAAAATCTGAAGTGTCAGATTCCCAGTTCTTCTGTTTCTATAAGGAGCATATGAAAGTGCCTATACCCCTGAAAATAGTACAATGACATCAGATATAGGAAAAAGTTTATTATGATTCAATTCAGCATTGTTTTCCTAATGTCTATAATAAGCCACGTCAGCTAAGACCACAGCTTCTTCGTAGATTTCTTATCAAAAAGAAACAAATTGTACCTGCACCTCTCCTTTCCCCACACATGCAAACTCTCAATCCCAGGTAAAATTATTCTGCCAATCATACTGCCCATCTGCCATCCTAATGCCCATGAACCAACAGCACCAACAAGTCCTTGGCTGAATGCAAGCATATATATACCCATGTCTGAAGTTTTCCCTATGACTTCACCAGATCCAGTTCTGGAGTATTACAGTATATACACCTGGTCAGTTCTGAATATGTAAAGTTGTTGAAATTAAGTAACCATATAGCACTATAAACAGACAAGCTCAAAAATAAAAGCGCTTCTGAACCATTATTTCCATGTCTTTATTATCTATACTACAATAGCATTTGAAGGTTTCATTTCAAACAGATAAAAATAGCTTCTTCTCTTCCAGATAAGTAATATAAGAGATATATTTTTGGCAGCCATGAGTGAGAGAGGTGAAGAATAAACTTTTCCTGCTTAAAAAAAAACCAAAAAACGTTAAGGTAGGGAAACAGTCAGATGAGTGGTATGCCAGGCAAAATACTTTTCCAACAGCAAATTTTCATCATACTTCAAATTCTCAATTATGATAAAGAAGAAAACCTAGTATTTAACCCAGCAGTCCATATGCAAAATATATGCTATTACGAACATATATGCAAACATACTGTAGGAGAGAGGAGTTACTTACTTGATGGTCCATGAGAATCTCTGTTCTCACCATGTTGCTGTGTACACATACAATTGAAGAACGAAGAACAGCAAACATAAAAATCCAGGCCAGGAAGAAGCAAGTGCACAAAAGCAGCAGCAGCGGGAAAGAAGAAAGACAATTAAAACAGTGTTAGTTCATAATTAAAATACAACATGCACCTCAATGCCAAAGGCAAGACCTCAAGAGACTTAGCAGACCTTAGTTCAGAAAAGGTGAAGCAACAAAACTGACAAATATGCTTACAGAAAAGCCATTATTAGAAGCTATCATTAGTAAACAGCAACTACCTCAACTGCTTATTCTGAGTGGAACTTTTCCACCAGCAATTTAGTGCTCATATGACTTGATACACAATGTTTTCAAAAGATTGAAGCTCTGAAGAAAGCTGAAATAACACAAAATTTGTTTCCAAAACCATTCCACTTTCAGACAAGAGTTTTGGAAGGAAAAAACCTTTAACACCATCAAAAACATGCAAGCACCCACTAATGCTTGATCCAAACCTTACTGCTTTTGCACACAAACACAAAAGTAGAAACCACAGATTCAGCTCATCTACGAACACAGGTAATATTTTAAATTGCTTAGGATGCAAGACAAGCAGTGCAGTTTTAAATTTAAGAGGACATTTTACATCATCATCATCATGGCTAGGCTTCGCAAATGAAGATTTAGGAAGGACATCAAAGTACTTCCAAAGAATCATGTAAAAAAAAATTATTTGTGGTCCACTGAAAGCATCAAATATAGGTACTAGTGGAGGGTAACTACATAGTAATAGCCTGTACTCCTTTCTGATATCTGATCTGAAATCTTTTTTAAATCATTGCTAACCAAGACCAAAATCAAGGCTAAGATCCCACTGTGCTCAGCTGTGTACAGATGTAAGGCAAGTTCCAACTATGTGTTAAAGGATTTACTACATTTGAAAACTGTGAAAAGGAGAAAACAAGTATATTGATCAGCATGAACATTTCCTCCTTAAAAATAAATCCAAACATGATGTATCTTCTATATCCCCAAGAAAAAAAACTTATATTCCATAAAGAAGAGAAATTCTTGCCCTGCTTTATAGAGGATCCAATCTTGCCTCTCTTTATCAGGACTAAACAGCAGGAAACAAAAAAGAGAAAAATCATAATCAAAATCTTTGCAAGTGTCTTCGCTTGCACTCCTGATCTCAAAACAGATTTTTTAATACATTTCTTTTTGTTAACCCTCACATCTGCCTAGGGGTGTTAAATTGACAGTGCAATGTGCAAATGTAAAGTATTGCAGTGAGAATATAGCAACTGCAGTACACATCATTAGAAATGTGAGGCAACCCTTCTTTCATAATTCTGTAGTTTCCATAACAAGATTTGATTAAACAAAGGCTGAAATAAAATATAAGCAGACGTGGTAAATAACCTTCAATTCCTGTCAGAGACTAAATTTACATCAGAGTGAAATGCTGCTAAGGGAACCCATGAACTTACCAGGCAGATTTCAGTACTAGTACATGAAAAGTATTCAAGAATTCAATGGCTTTTAAGGCAAAGTGTTTCTTTTAACGTACAGATAATATAACTGCAGATTAGGAAACAATTTTTGTTTGGACTGGAACTGTACTACCCTACGCTGATTTTAGATTCAAGAGAATAGTGACTGACAAGAGAGCAAGAAGCCTGCAGTAACTGTACAGAGATCCAGCAACTGACTGAAGGACAGAAAAGAACACTGCTATTCAGCACTGGTCTGCTTTATTTCACACTAAAAGTTGGAAAGCAAGAGCACAGATCTGGAAAAATACACTGTAAATGGACATATAGGATCAGAAGTGTCAGAGACTGAGACAGTATGTTCACTCACAGTGAGTACTTACATGTTGAAGAAATAAGAGTGAAAAAGCACCTCAGCAGATTCGGTCTCACTGACTGCCTCTCAAGCAGCCCTGGCCAAGATACAACATGACACCACAGAGCAGGGCAACCTGTCACCGGAGACGATGGTGCAGGGGCTTTTCATGTAAATATTTTAGCACTGCATGGTTAATCCTATGAACTGGTACAAACAGCTCCTACACCAGAGGCTGAAACACAAGCCTGTCTAACTCTGTCCTTGATCTTCTCCAATAGACATTCTGTTTACACACCAAACTACCTCCGTTGCTGGTCAACCTCCTCTCTTCATTAGATGTATTTGGGCCTGTGTATTTACCTAAAATATGCAGAATATATATTTCTAAACACTGATGCAAGATGTTAAGGTACTGAAGTGAGACTATTTTGGGCAAAAAGACCTCTTCGTTTTCTAGTGGCCTACTAAACCTCTGTCATCTGCAATTCATATATCTGCAGATTTGGGATTCAAACCACTATAGGAACAAAACATGACAGTTCTACTACTTCAGTGTTTGCTCTGAAAAGACTGTTCTCAGGACATTCCTGTCCATCGCCTCCCACAACTCTTATTCTAAATATGCAAAATTAAGAAAAACATATGCATATTTCCAGAGACACAGCCTACTCTTACTTTCACATTATATAATTGATGACTTTGATTATTACACATTACAGAACAAGTCCTTTGACAAGGCAGGTTCTCAACACTACATGTTTAATTTAGCTTCTACTGAAGCACAATTTCCTTAAAATGTCACTACCAAAACATACAAAGCCTAGCCCTCCTCACAGTAAAGTTTTTGAGTAAGATTTAGGAATAAAACCAGCAATATAAAGCATCTCATGAGACAGCAGTCATAATTCTGGTTTTATACAAAGGCAGCTCATGTGCTTCAGAAAAGCACTATTTTTAGACATTTCATTTCTCAGAAATAAAACTAATAACAACTGCTACTAAACTTTAAGTTACATCTGCCAAGTTGTCCTGAAAAACAAAATTCTTTTCCTGTTGAATATTAGGGGAAAAGAAAAAGCATATGTCATACTAACATGTCTGAATCTCATACTACAAAAGATTAGTTTTTTAAATAGATTTACTAGTTTTACAATCAAAACCTACAGTTACATTTTTAATAGAGTTGAAATGCACATTCTAAAGCCAAGTTAGAGTTTTCAACCCTGCTGAAGACAGACTTTTCCTGAAGGCAGTTGCTGAATATGTGTAAATCATTAAGATTATTCCAGTTACATTTAAATTCAGGACCACTAACCCAACCTGCAAGCCTGATCAGTAGAGAGGACCTCTATTCTATACTTCAAGGAAAAAAGGTACTTCTATGTCTATTGATGTATTTAAATAGCAAGGACTGACTGTACCAGCTATATCACAGGCAATTTATTTATTAAATATATGTTTTGTTAAAATATAGAGGTAACTAAAAATTAGTAAAAAAATAATTTTGAAAAAGAATAGTTTTTACCAAACATTCCCATGTAATGTTCTGAATTCTGAGCCAGTGAGGGCTGTTTAAATTAAACTACTATTTTATAGAAAGATAGGCAAAACTGTTCTCAAACAAGAACTCAAACCAAAGGTTCTAGTATTTTGCATTGTTTTAATAGTGCCAGATTACAAAAATAGTTTGCTGAGTTGTCACAGCCTTTGTGTTCAGATTTATTGCAGTATGTATAAACCTAATTGTTAGAAAATATAAGAATTTAATGTAAGACTTTTCTCCCTATATTGATTCTGAAAGGATCACAGTATTAAGTTCTGTAATCTCCTCCTCCGTTTTTTTGTTTATTTGTTTGTTTTGGTTGTGTGGTTTTTGTTTGGTTGGTTTTTTTACACACAAGCCAAAAAAAAAAAACAAATTAGAAAGCTGACACCTCTAAAAAAGGGCTTTTTCAGGTACCTCCTAGAAACACCCTAAAGAACTCAAAATGGTGGGAAAAAAATGTTGATGAGTATTCATCATGCATGTTCCACCTCACGTATTTAATGAATTTTAATCAGACAAATGGAACTTAAAACCAAACCAACCTATTGCATCTAAAAGTCTGGAATACAGAAAACTTTTAAACATGATTTCAAAAAATTTAAGATTCTGGGAAGAGTCAGGATTTGCATTGATTCAAGGTCTTCAAAATTACTGGGTCAATCTCTCTTAAAATGTATATGGGGTTTTTAATATTTAATTTTCACTTTTTTTACTATGATATACACCAGATCAAGAATATTAAACTACCAGATAAGCTTTCAAAAGCGTTTTTAACACCTGCATGCAAAACAAAAAACTTGATGCTGTAACTGCAGTTAAGACAGACATTTACCCCACTAGCTGATATTTTGGTAAGAAATGCTTAGAGCAGCATATAACAGTATACCATCAGTCAAAAAAAATTATTCTGAGATTACACTTTAGGTGCCTAAGCGCATAGAACAAAAGGCAATCTATCATTACACTTACAATTCTTCTGAAGGAGACTTGGTAAGACATACAGAGACTCATTTCAAGATACCTTTTAAATACCATGCTATTCTGAATGCACATCACAAAAAGAAGATTAGCACATCTTATGTTACTTTGAAGTGTTTTGTAAATTGGTACTTTTTTATTTTAGGAAACAAGGAGCAGAACAACTGAACTAACGGGATTTTTTTAAAAAAAAAGTCGACAGTCGATACTCATAGTACGTTGCATCTAGGATATAGATGTGTTGTCCATGTAACAAAACAATGAATTTGTTTATTACAGGAAAAAGTCAAGGATTTTCTTAATGCACTACAAAATAGTTTTTCTACAAATTTATCACTTCAGTTAAAAAAAGTAATAAAACACTTGAACAAATTAATAGCTCTGTGTAGTAGCTGACTGTCACAAATAAAGTTTGTCACTAATGAAGTGTTAAACTTGACCTTCACCACAGTTACAGAAAATATATCTTATTTTTGCCTTTGGGAGGCAGTGCTTTCTATCATGAAGCAACTCTGGAAACTGAAAAACATTTCCTGCTTCAGCTACTAGAGTGCTTCTACATAACACAGCTTGTGGAAAACCAAATTCTTAAATAATTTCAATATTACAATGATGATGAAGTGTGATACTACTCACTAGCCTTTCCTGGTTTTAAACTGTGCTTAGAAAGAGCTTCACTACATCAGAAATTTTGTTATCAGTACAGATTATCAACTCTTAACCTTAGACTGCTCTGATAACATAATTATCATTCCTCCTGCCTTTTCTGCTCCTCATTCCACCAAGAAATACATTATTTTTACTATTGTCCATAGTCACTAACTAGCAAAATGCCAATTAGACAGAGAAATACTTTTTTTCTTTGTGACTCTAAGATAAAATCAAAAAAAGTAAATCAAATCCAAAATCCAAATGTTTTTTGACATTCAGCCTTCTTGCCATGAGAATCTAGGAAATGGTACATGACACTACGCGATATTTGAAATACATTCACCAGAAAAGTATCAATTCAAACCAAAACTGAAAAGATTCAAGCCATTTTACCCTCTCTCTGCAAAAGTATCTTCACATTCATCTCATTACACAAAGGCACATTTAAGTTACTCACTGAATTTCTATCAAATTCCCCATCAACTGGAGTCGTCTCCATGCTGAAAGGGCCTGTTGTCTGTCTCTCTATCAATTAGAGTTCTTCCATCCTGCTGCTCGAGATCCTAGAGAACAAAAATACAGTAATTCAATTCCAATCTGTTAAGAGACCTACACTTTATCTTCCATAAGTTTTAAGAGTGTAAATAGTCCTAAATGCAAACTCTGCATTTTACAGTTGCTTGCAAAACATGGACATTTACCCAGAAAAATCAACTTTTTAGGAATGGATAGAATAGTTTCAAATAAAATGGTCAATACAAAAGCTACTCACACAGGCAAGTATTTACTTCTACAAATAAGGAAAAGTTATGTAAAAAAACCAGAAACCCACAGGTTTCTTGCTGTATTTCCCCTTGTTTCAGAGTTCCCAGCAGCCACAACACTCCCACCCCACAGGCACACAAGTTGTTTAGGTACAGAAAAAGCTGTTCCAGAGCAGTCACAGTTGTGGGCTTCCCAGCATAACTCCAAAAACAGTCATGTATTGCTTTGTGGAACCAAGACACAGAAATTAAATAATTTGTGCAAGCCAGCACCCTCTGTGGCAGAGCAGGCACTCAGCTAGGGGTCACCACACACAGACAGAAAGCAATGCCTCATTCTTTAAGTGTTTCCTATTTAATTTTGTTGCAAGAGAATGAAACCTACAATCAATCGCAGTATTCACAGCACATCTGAAGTCACAAGTGAGACAAGAAAATGCTTTGGAATCAAGCAAAACTTGGTAGAAAAAACATGCTTTAACCACTTATTCATTTAGTGGGTTTCAGGGGAGAAGCAGATCAAATTGGGATGCCTACTGAGATGTCCAACTACAGTCACTGCTCTGCTGGTCTCTACAAGGCCTCCATCAGCAAGATGCAAGCAGATGAGAAAGTTGTACACTGAACTGTGTGAAACAGGGCCATCAGTATTCCACAGAAAGAAAACTCTGTGGTTCCACTCTCAGCAAAGCCATGCTCTCTCTGCCCTTACCATCAGCCAGAGAAAGTGTTTGATCAGAGAATTACCCCAAGGGCACATTTTTCCCTTTCATTTTGTCTTGGGTGGAGTGAGGGGGCAGGAAGCACTAAATTACAAACTAGATTGCTAAATCAACACTTGTGCAAGAGCAGGGGTAGCATGGAGATGGTGGGGTTTTTTTTAAGATAGGATGTTATCATATCGTGCTCAATGTATATATCAAGCTACAGCAAGCTTTAGTAGAAACAGTTTAAATGAGGACAGAAGGGTGAGGTGGGAGGAAGTCAAACAGATGACCAGAATGCACAAGGTCTTGTGTTTCAAGGCCTGCCTAAGAAATAGACACTCATGAAAACAAATATCACTATAAAGAATAAACATTTATTCAACTACTTTTAATGTTTTTATTATCCTGTTTGTTTTGTATTATGCAAAGCACATTAGAATTTTTCCTCAGGAAAAACATACAGTATTAACACACTATAGCAATTTACCATATATCACTAAAACACAAGAGGAAGCATTAAAAAAAAGTTTAACAAAATGACTGAGTGCTAACAAAATTGCAAAGTTAATAGTTCCCTATGACTTAGTCCAAAGAACTGATGAGGATATTACTCAAGCCCCTGAGTAATTAACTGAGGTGGCACGTAACTGGAAAGCATAACTGGTAAGCGTATGGCTACATGTTCTCACGTAAATTAGAAACAGCAGACATCTGAAAGGAGATTACTATAAGTGATTAATTTGCATTAATAAAAGTAAAGATGGCATTACCACAGAAAGAAGAGTTCACCCCAGAAGGTCTGTTTCCTGGAGCAGCAGGCACTGCAACGCATACCTTCCACACCCCAGCGCAAGGATGCAGAACTGGGTAATGACTTGATGTCTGTTCCTTGTCATCTCTCCCCCACATGCCCATTTTAGGTTCCCTTATTAGCAGGAAATTCAGCAACACCAGACTGCATGCATATTCAATTTACGGAAACACTAAACTCTTTTAAACAGGATGAAAAATGAGTTGCATAACAAACAGATGTATGCACTGATATTTAAAGCAGTTTGCCAGCTTTTTTTAGTTATGCAAACTTGCAACCACACTCAAGTTATCTGAATAAACAGATCTTTCCTGACACAGGAACATTTACCCTAAAAAACTTTTAACCCATCTCTATATTTAACATTTTTCAACTCTTAATTTTTATTGTCAATGCTCCTGGTGTATTCTGCTCCTTTTGTTCACATGACCACAGCCACTACATCCCCTCCTTATCTCAGTCTCAAGAGCAGTATCATCAGACAAGTACCACACTGTCTAACCCCTAGCATTCATGGCCACTTGTGGTGCCCAAGACGCTCATAATCCAGCAGGGTCCCAAAGGCTGCAGTGAAGTTTTCTGGGAGAGGGGAGGAGAAAATTCAGCCTGCTCATGTTTGACCAGTAAAGTAGGTGCAGAAATGGTTAAGGACTACCTTCCCTGACATTGCTTAGCTTATGAGTAGACAGCCAGCTTGGCTTATTTTTCTTGGCAAAATGAAAGCTAAAAGTGAACAATATTGCTTCTGAAATATGCCAAAATAAATATCAAGGAAGGAAAAGGGCTCTATCAGCAAAAGGAGAACATATTTATTTTGAAAATTACAGAATGCTTCTAACCATCTGAGCCCCAAGGCTTTGAAACAACGTTCTAATCAATGTAGGGAAGGGGAATTTATTTGTAAATGCAGCCAGGTTACTATGAGGGGTGCTTCCACAAGTGAACAAGCTCTTTTTTACTTCAGCTAACCCAACCATTAGATTTGAAGATACAACCGATGTATAATTTTTGGGGTTTTTTGTTTTTGTTTGTTTTTTTTTTTTAGCTTTTGGGAGACATTTATGACATGCCTTTGCTGTTCTCTCCACATTCCCAAGTGTTTGCAGTTTGGTTGGTTTGAGGTTTTAATTAACAAATGTTCCTTCACAAACAGAATTCTTAAAAGCTTAAGTGTTCAGGAGGACACACACACAAGCTGAAATTATTTGAAAATAACTATATGATGGCATCCAGCTAGTCATCCATTTTTCTTTTACAGACAATGGATACAATCCAGCTCTTACAAAGGTATTGCTTATTTTAACGCAGCTGTACCTATCAGACAAATCATGCCACAAAAGAAGCTATTTCTCTCCAACTGTGAAGAAGGTTGAACAGGTCAGAAACATACCTTTAATGCAGGGAAATGCATCCCTCTTATCACATGATCCATAACCTGTTAACATCTGTATTCCATCTTAACTTATTTTTGATGATCATACCAAACTGTGTGGTGCAGCTGACACACTGAAGGGGAAGGATGCCATCCAGAGGGACCTTGACACACTTGAGAGTGGGTCTGTGAGAACCTTAGGAAGTTCAACAATGTCAAGTACAAGGTCCTGCACCTGAGTTGAGGCAATCCCAAGCACAAATACAGGCTGGGTGGAAAATGGGTTGAGAACAGTCCTGAGAAAAACGAATTTGGGATACTGGTGGATGAAAAACTGGACATGATCCAGCAATGCACACTTGCAGCCCAGAAAGCCAACCACATCCTGGGCAGCATCAAAAGAAGCATGGCCAGCAGGTGACTCTGACAGGTCACTCATCAGGAGGTCTACTTTGCTCTCACAAGACCCCAACTGGAATACTGCATCCATCTCTGGGGTTTCCAAGATATTAAGGATGTGGACCTGCTGGAGCAAGAGGAAGGCCATGAAGATCAGAAGGGCTGGAGCACCTCTCCTATGAGGACAGGTTAGGAGAGTTGGTGCTGTTCAGCCTAGAGAAGAGAAGGTTCCAGGAAGACCTCACAGCACCTTCCAGTACCTAAACAGGGCTACAAGGGAGCTGGAGAGGGATTTTTTACAAGGGATTTTTGTCCTAGTGATAGGACAAAAGAGAATGGCTTTAAACTGAAGTAGGGTAGGTTTAGATTTGATATTAGTAAGAAATTCCTTACTGTGAGGGTGGTGAAACACTGGAACAGGTTGCCCAGAGAAGTTGTGTATGCCCCATTCCTGGAAGTATTCAAGGCCAGGTTGGACGGGGCTTTGAGCAATCTGGTCTGGTGGGAGGTATCCCTGCTTATGGCAAGGGGGTTGGAGCTACATGGTCTTTAAGGTTCCTTCCAACCCAAACCATTCTATGGTTCTATGATTTTAACAGACTGCTTCGGTCATTTGTAGTTTTTGTAACTATTTGGGTTTCAGTTAGTTCCACCTTGAAAATAGGAAAATCCTCCTTGGGTCTCCCACATAAGGAAAGGAAAGCATGCATCAATGAAAGCTACTACTCTGCATGAACAGGATCTTTTTTAACTATCTACACACATGGATGCTTAAATGTCCTGTGGGAAGAGGTAAGAAGACAACTCCCATCAATTTAAAAAAAATATCAGAAGCCATTAGATGTATGCCTCAATACCATAACGTTACACGATATTTTCTAAGATACAGTAACAGATCACAGAACAAAAGCAGCACAAGTTGGGTGCCTTGGCCATGAGAGAAGACTGTGGCAGCAAGCCTTTGTTCAGTCTTTTAGAGATCAGTGGATTTGGCAGTGCTCTGCATTGACTTATAAATTCCGTAAGTTAACCAGATTACATGAACTTTTACTGTAGGGAATGTTTGTTTAACCGAATAAAGGCATTAGTAGGAAATACAACCCCCTTTTTCTGCCAGTATAAAAAAAGCTCCTCACCAAACATGATACTTGTTCCAGGCACATTAGAGAATTTAGTCCTGACACTGTGGCAGTAATATCCTATTGGAAGTACTTTTCTAACATTAAATCATAATTCAACCCACAAAAAGACTCTTCTTCCCCTTCTCCCACAGCTTAGCTTCAGTTCCAACACGTCACTAAATCTGGAGAGTTTCATCAAGAGTCTTTGCCTGATCTCATGGCTGAAATGGGTTTTGCTTTCTCCCTAAGTACTATCACCTACAGTCATAAGATATGGCATTTGCACTGCGATACTGTTTTGTGATCTGTTATAGTATCAGTATCTTGCACTCCAGCATCACATCTCACGGGGAAGGTACAGCCTCACCAGTGATCTGCCACCAGGCAAC